AAGGAATAAATTGCCGGTTTTCATGTTGAAATGGAGTTCGGTTCTGGAGAGAAAATCCATTCCAAGGAGTACTTCATAACCAAGACCTGGGGCATGATGGACTAAATGGGGAATTTCGGTTTCTAGGATGGTGATCGGAGCAATATAAGCGCTATGGATATTAACGGGTTGATTGGTAAAGCTCTTGGCTTGTTTATGTTTCGGCGGTCGGACGGTATCGGCAACTATAGTAGCGATATGTTTGTTAATGAATGAAATGGCTGATCCGGTGTCAATCAAAGCAGTAAACGGGTGGCCATGAATGTGAACTGTAATAAACGGACGGGGGTCGGTACCTTGTATCGCAGCAGCGGAGGGAGAAGTGTCAGCGGAATTTCGGACGGGACGGTTAGGGGGATTACTTTGGGTCTGACACCCACACTTCTCGGACATTACTCCTCGTCTACCACAGCGCGAACAGAATAGCATGGGTTGGTTGCGACACTGAGATCTCCAATGCCAGTTTGACCACACCTCCAGCAAACTGGAGCCTCGCCGGACTCTGCAGAATGACTGGGTGCAGCGGCCTAGAGCGGTATTAACAGGGGCAGAAGGCGGTAAATTTCGGGTGTATTGGGGTTGGGCTGTTCGGATGAACTGCGAGAAGTCCAGTTCCGGCTAGGGGTTAATGATTGTCTCGGAATGCGGTGGCGGCGAAACCCAACTGCCCTCGGTTTTGAGTGGAAAGTGGTTCGTCGAAACTAACTGACCTATTGGTACGGAGCGGTGGTGGATTATGGGTATTCAAATCGGTACGGTAAGCGGTTTCGGTACGGTTTCTTGCAAAATCGGTGCGGTCTTACGGAATCTGTACGGTTTCGGTCAAAATAGGTTTAGTACGAGAGCCCACGACCAAAATTTTTGTCTCATAGCAATACGGCCAAAACCGCATCGAATCGATAGATACGATTATCCTGAACTCGAAAATACCAATATCAGACATTTTCCGCGTAGCGTTTGATCTGACCGAATTTTCAAAATTGTCAAAGAATTTTACCGAACTGCATCATAGCAATATGTCTGATTTGCAGACTGTAGTTGAATGATAGTTCTGAGATACCGGAAACATATTTTTCAGACGTTAGTGGTGTAGCGCAAACCCGTAAAATCACTTAAAAAAATTAAAAATGATACAAAAAAAATGTCTCATAGCAATACGTCTGAAAATCTTTTTTATTAGTAAATTTTGGATATTTGATGCGAACAAAACAATTTTCAGACGGAAATGTGAACGCATTAAATTTTGAGACCGTTTTGAAAATGTTAACAAATTTTACCGATCGGTATCATAGCAATATGTCTGAAAATTGTTGGACATGATAAAATAAGTTGTCCACATGTGCAAAAAATTTATATCAGACAAATTAAGTGTAGCACCTTCTCTATCAGACAACTTTTCGATACTCAGATATCATTTAAAAATCGTATTGAGGCATCTTGAATTCTCTGTTACAAACCAATGAATACGTTGCGACCCTGAATTTATTAGATGATAATTAACAAAGAATTTACCCGAAACCGTAACATTGAAGTTGAAGGACTGAAATAAATCGCACAAAAGGAAACTGGGATGAAGTTGAAAAAAAACGGTTTATTCAAAGTTATAAAATATTCTCGTATTCAATCGCTGTCGGATTCGGAATCGTCGTCTTCGAAATCACTTTCGACGTCGCTCGGGAGATCTTCAACGTCATCTTCTGTAAAATAAACATCGTTAGTAAAAATCACGAACTTATTTATGAAATTAACAGCAAAAGCCATGTAAACTGTACCTGTTGTGGATGATGATATGTCGTCCAAAATAACGTCGCTCAACTCAGGTAGTTGGTTGCCGGAGAACCACGAAAACTGAAATCGTCCCTCGTCTTCATACCATCCGCAATCTGCAGGGTTCAGTTCGGTTGGCGTTTTTTTATGAGCGTTGCTCCAGACTTGTGCAATATATTTTGTTCGTAATAAATGTTTCTCCAATTCCGTTTTGCATGGTGGCAGATTGCAGGCGTCGTAATTGGATAACTGGAGATTCAGAGTTGTCGAAGCATCGTCGTTTTTAATTTTATATGTCTTCGAAAAAATGTTGAGTCGAGCTAAATCGACGTTATTAATTTTTTTTTCGTTGTACAATCTGCACGTGAATTCTTCCAAAACGGGGAATACCTTGTCACTATCAGAAGTATAGCTGCCCAAATCACCGAAAGCTTCTTGATAGCGTTTCGAATTTTTCAACATCGTCAATGGTCTTTTTTTACCCTTGCGATATAACGCGGGATTATAATCGCAGCCGGTCATTGCATGGAAAGCAGGTAAAGATTTTGCCAGAGTGGATCCCAATGTCTCGTATAAACGTGAAACATCAATGTAACGCCGGGAATTGCCAACACCAACATCCATAGAAATTTGGACGACACTTTCTACAAATTCCATATTTCCGAGCATTATTATTAATATATCGGTGTCTGAACATCGAATCGTTACTTGACCCCGTTGTTTCATTTGGCAGACATGGTAAACGATCTTCGTATCTGCCTCTTCGTGTTCTTGGCAAGTTAGATCTTCGTTGATTGTTTGGATAACAAAACCACCTTTCACCGAATATTCATAACACATGTCGTGATTGATGTTGATGATTTTGTTTGCGATTATGTGCGCCATGTCTTGTTCTGACCAATTGTTGATAATAAATTTGACCAGAGCATCTTTGAATTTGATGTTTTTCAATTCTTTAGCGAAATCGGAAGGTCGAACTTGTTGCGGTCCTGAGATTCGAAAATCGGCCGATTTTACGTTTTCTCGCAATCCATGCTCCGTGTCCTTGATCGACGGGCAGAAATACCTGTCGAATATCAGATCGATCCTCTCAACATTATGTTTGCACAAAATGTGCAAAATTTTTTTCGAGATATCTCCAAATGTTCGTGGTATGTCTTTTAAGGTGTGCAGTAAAAAGAACCCATCGATAATCAAAACATCTGTAAACTCTGGCTCCGTGCTCTCGATTTTTTTTTCAAGGTCTCGCATCAATGCTGATTTGTCGGTTTTATTTATTGTACCGTCCATGTGACAAAGTGATAGCGGCATTGGGGTTATCGGGTAACACAACACTTTTTCGATACTTATTTTTTTTTCCAAGGACAAAGCTAAAAGCCGCCCAAATAAGTCTCTTTGTAGCCTCAATTCTTGAACCTTGCCACCGAGTACAACTTTTTTCTTTTTCTTTACCGTGCTGAATGTGAAGACTGGATTCTTTTTTATTGGTTCTTGAAAACGTGCATGTCTCTCTTTTACCTCGGTTATGAAATTATCGCGCAAAGTTTCTCCTCGAGATTCGACGTTGAGCAGAAAGTCAGTGGTATTTTGTGCAGCAGCTTCTCCAGTTGTGATGTTGTACAACTTATCAGCGTCTAACGAATTGTCGAAAGGATTCATGTATTGTTGTAAAGTCCTTGTGAATTTCTCAACTTGCTGGTGACTCTTTCGAATGCGAGAACTCTTCAGTTCCGAGGAGATATCCTGATTCTTGGCGATTCCAGCGGTTTTCAGCACATGTGATATTATTCGAGCTCGAGCACTGTGATTTATTGCCCAACGTTGCCTTGCAGCCACCGAATTTGTCATGTGAATAATTCCGATTAGCCTCCGAGCTGCTTCGCCGTTAATCGTTTGTTCCAAAGTCAGGTCAACAGGTATTCTGGAAAAAGATTTCTCCGTTCTTCGTACTCCGAATGATCCTTGTTCTAATGAGAAACGCAGTCCTGGATGGGTTTCGTCGATGCTGCACAGCTTGCTGACATAATATACCAGCCAACGAGAATAATTTTGGTGATTGAAAGCGAAGAAAAAGTTTGTGATTTTTGCAAGAATGTAAACATACATTTTCAGATCTCCGGTTCTAATACTCTTGTTCAGCATGTCATAATAGGACACTAATCGGATGTAAACGGTGTAAAACTGAGCAGTTAGTCCATGCTTTCCTTGCAATGTTTGTTCGGTAAAGTTGTCATACTTCTCGAACAATTCGAGAGTTGCTTCGTGTTCTATTGTAGGCGTCGTTGAACGTTGCTTTTGTAATTGAAACAAATAATCTTCAATTGATTTCTCGATGACAATTTTTTCACGGTCGACGAAGGTATCGAAATGCAGTTTTTGAAACGCGAGCGATACAAGGGGATGTAGTCTTTTGCATCGATTGAAATTTGTACCTGAAATGAAACCCTTCAATGAACCATTCGCCAAAACTTCACTGTCCACCAGAATATTGGTAATACCGCAATCCTCAATGAAAGAGCCGATAACTTTGAAGTATGACATCATTATATGAAATCCGCCGAGATGTATGAAAACGTTGTCGAATTTCGGCGCTTCCTGGGACTGAATTCCGAATGCAATTCTTGCAATAGCTAAATCGTACGTCACTTGCATGTATTCCGAACTGCATTCTTCAGCTACTTGTTGAGCCATTTTCAAAGTGAGGTGCACTACGGAATTATCTGTAGGAGATGCATTGATAGGCGTCAAATACGATACTTTCTGCAAAGCAGAGGTGTCTTCAGTTATGAGGCTATTAAACCCAGTCCACATAGGGGTATCGGGAATGTCCAGTTTGTGTGAAAAAAGCCAAGCAAGATCAAGGTTCCTCCACGTCTTAAAAACTTCAGGTTTGATTGAGATTTGACCGATACTGGGAGTTGAGAAGTAGGAATCGATTTTTGGTTTTTTCGTGTAAGGTACGATTTCGTTGACGATAGCGTCGAAACATCTTCTTCTTTTTCGACCTCGCGGCGTTTCATCTGTTGACGCGGCTGCAGTATCATCACTTTGTACAGAAGCGTCGGTTGGAGCGGTAAAATTTGCGTCACTAGGTATATTTTGGTAAATTATCCCGACAGTGTCGTGGAGAGTGTCTTTACCAGTGAGAGTATCGACGAACCGATCGAAGTGATCGAACGCGACTCCAGTACACAAATTATCGGCGAGAATTATGTCTTCGGGATATCATTTGTTCTGTTGCGTTGATGTGAATGTCAGCTCAGTCTCTAGCTCTTCGATGACATTGTAGCTACAGCAGTGACCGTATTTGTTGACAAGGTCGACAATTTTCCTGCTGCTCGAGAGACTCTTTAACGCCATTCCCAGAGTGACATGTTTCGAGGTTTTAATAGTGCCGTTCGTAGCTGCATAAATAATGTCCTGACCGAGGGAAAACATTTTTAAGTCGCGCGAGGATTTCTTTAATTCATGACGAGATTGACTTACGCCTTTACTATCACCGCAAATGATACACTGCAAGAGATACGATAGCAACGGTGGCACAGAATCGCATTCACCTCGGATGAGATCCTGCACCGTTATATCCTCCGGTAATTTTGTCTTGTCCACGTTAATTATCTCTCGTCTGATTATCTGTCCGATGTTGTATATCACTTGTCTCGTTTCGATGTTTTTGAAAAATTCTTGATTGCTGACGATGTGACCAGCGTATGGAGCGATATACTTTTTGTTGTCCGAGAAAATGATTTTTATTTCAGCGTTGAACGTTACCAATAACTTCTTTTCCAAATGACGCGACGAAAAAAAATCCGGTTTTTCGACGTTGGAGACGTTGTCAAACTGTTCGTGCAGGAACTCGATGTACTTTTCTGAGATGAAATTATAAAAGAGACATTCATTGTTCTCAACTACGCGTTCGCGAATAAGTATGCAAATTTTGTCATACGCGTCAGTATGACATTGTCGTTTTTTGTGCCAAGTTTTTTCTTTTTTTTTCTCGAGATCGTTCTTACAGTGCCATTCAAACTTTGTTTTGCAATGTTTGTGATAGAAGCAGTTGTCATCTTTGAGAGTTTCGATTTTACGCAGCATCTCGATGTTGTTGTACTCGGTGGACACGGCCTTAATAAATTCGATGAAAGTGTTGGTCGCTTTTATCAAACATACCGCGCGTCTTTTCACGTATATCCTGTATTTACCGCAAATAATACAGCTGTGTGTATTTTCATCGGCAGTCGAATCATCAGTTGCCGTATTGTCAGCAACATCGGTTACCGCACTGTCATCAGGTACCGTATTGCCGACAGCTACCGTACTGTCGTCCGCTAACGCACTGTCGTCCGCTGTCGTACTCTCGTCCGCTCCTCGATCACCTTCAGGTTCTTCACTGTAATGTGACAAATTCGAAATATTAAATATGCTCCAAAATAAATATTATCGTGAAAATAAAATCACCTTAATTTAAAATAAAAAATAAGAAGCAATTTCTTGGCGATTTAAAAAAATGTATTGAAAATATTAGAAAATCAATCGTTTCTCGCGTTTCTTGTGTTCTCAATGCTTTGCAACAGTAGCGAAGCGTTGGCTTGTGTACGATGCGCGCACACAAATGTGCGAGGCTCACCCATACAGCGACCACGTGGTGCACGACGCACTTTACACCAACGCTCCTCAAAGATATATTGCATATATATTTCATTCTTACCTCGCTCTGGATGTCGATGCACCGTCATCAAAAACATTACTGACGACATTGTCGTGAGAAATATTTGAATCCTTCGGAATTCTCACAGCCGTGAAATTTTTGTAGCACGCCGAATGGTATCCTATGTCCGTGTCGACACCACGTGGCAACTCGATTTCGGAGTAAATCGATTTCCTGCTTACTCTATGCTTTTTACTCCGATATTCGGCCACTTCTTTGCACTTTTTCAGCGTCTCTTCGGTAAATTTTTTCCCTTTCTCAATCGTTGTTTCTTTACAAAACACACAACTCAGGTCCGACATTTTACACCACCACAACCGCACAACGCATGACAACTAAGTGAGCGTCGTTCCAACGTTTGGATCAGCTGCCGAGTGAGCTGTATAATAGTAAGAAAGGGGCAGGACCGTAACACGCGAAAAGCCGTACCCGCCGCAGGAGCGTAACAAGCGCTGAGGCGTCGGGCAGGCGACTCCGAAACGTTATTTTCGTTTTTGGGAGTATATGCTACACTTAAAGTGTCTGAAAACAGGTTTTTGGTAATTCTGGCAGCAATACGAAAAGTTAAAAAAAAATTTATCCGTATTGCTATGATACAGGTCGGCTAAATTTGTTGACATTTTCAAAAATGCGCTCAGGCTATATGCTACGCGCAAAATGTCTGAAAACAAACTTTTTCGTAATACAATTATAAAATCTATGTACATTTTCACAATCAGACGTATTGCTATAATACCGACTGCCTTTTTTTTTGACACAGCAGAAATGGCCTCCCACGCAGTTGCTACACTTTCGACCGTTACTACACACCTAGTCGGGTTCAGAATCATACAATCTAACGATTTTATAGGGTTTTTGCCGTATTGCTATGAGACATGGTTTTGGTCGTGGGCTCTCGTACTATTCGGTTTCGGTAAGAATCGGTACGGTTGGTAGATTCGGTACGGTTCGGTTGATCACCTCCACTAAATGGAACAGTGAATCGGGACGGTTGAGCCTGACGGGCTTCTCGGTACACATCTTCATAATTCTTAACGGCTTGAGTCAACTCGGTTACGGAACGGCAATCGGTACGGCGGATACATAAGCGGTATTCAGGCAATAAGTTATGGTGTAACCAGTAGAGCTCCTGTTCAGGGGACATACGGCCATGTCGACGGATTAGCGTTTGCAGTTCGGTAATGTAACGGACTGCGGGTTCATTAACTCTTTGACCACGGCGGCTAATTTGTGCCTCAAGGTTAATGTGATAATCAAGGGGGAAATAAAAATTTTGAAAATCGGTGACGAAGTCCAGCCAAGTGCGCCAGCGGAGACGGTTATTTCGGTACCATTGAAGTGCCAAGCCGGTGAATAATTCTGGCAACACAAGAAGTAACTGTTCGCCCGGTATGTTGTAGCGAAGGCTTATTTCATCCAAGCGTTCCAGGAAAGAAATGGGATCGGTATTCCCCCCAAAGCTAACATTCCAGTCTCGGGTTTTAATTTTGAATGGGACGGAGGAGGGCTGAATCTGGGGCGGACTCCCAACAGATAGAGCATACGGATTAGATGCTGGCATAGTCCAGACTGGCGGTAACGGTTGGGTTTGTGCAAATCCCTGAGCAGCGGTAGTATAAGAAACAGACGGATAATATGAATGACTCATAATCGGCGGTTGGGTGACAAGGGCGGTGGCGGAAGACGTACTTATCGGGGTAAAAGTAATATTCGGTGGCAACTTTAACGGCTGAGGAGAACGGGTGCCTTCGCGGAGAAAACAGATATAACGGCGACACAATTCATCGCGGGTGCCTTCGGTATTCAACTTAAATTTATTCAACTCGGCTATTAATTCGGCTTTGCGGAGCTTATAAACCCAGCTGACCCGGACGTCAGTAGCAAAAGGCGGTAACCGGTTCATCCTCAGGAATAAGTTCGGGATCAGACTCCATGGTGGGATCAAGATCAATAGGGGGTGGCATTTTCAAAAATAAATGGTATCAACACAAGTCAAAATCAAAATCAAGTCACACGCGCGAAAAAAAAAAAATTTCTCAAAGCGCAATAATAGTCATATATAAATACACAGTAATAAAAGAATTGCAATATTTAATTAACAACAACAATTCTTCAAAACGCAATTGTCTTTCCCAGGTTTCGATTATACCATAAACAATCAAATCAATTAATGAAATGGGGATACTAAAAGTTGATAGCAAAAAAAAATTTAAAAAAAAATTTCAAAGTTCAAAAATAAATTTGAAAAATGTTCTAAGTCGGTAAAAATCATAAAAATCTGACCTTACTTCCAGCGGTGCGGTGGTTGTTTTTGGTGTCGGTATGGCCGGTGGCGGTGGTTGTTTCAGCGGAGGTGGTGTTGTACCCTTCAAGTCCCTGCTCTCGGGCGCCAAAAATATATGCGACGAACTTCCCCCTTAGCTCGTGCACGAACGGTATTCTGAATAAAGGAAAGCACAATTATTTCAAGTTCATTTAATTGTCGAACAATAATATAATTGTACAGTTCAATTATTACACCGGGGACGGTCGGTCGGTCACTCGGGCGCCACCAAGACTTAATCTGCACCCCCTAAGTCTTGGGAAAAGGGGCGGTGCGGTCTTCGCGGACGGGGTGGAAAGCCTCCGGGTATCCTCAAGTGGAGAACGGAATAACCAGGGATCGGTCAGGGTTCACCACAAAATGGCGGCGGTCACTTCCGGATAATCTAAAACAAAATATGGCCAACGGCCCGGACGGTAAATTTCCTAAAGGGAATAAAGCAATAAAGCACAAATCAATTAGCGGTGTCTAGGGGAACGAAAAGCGGAAAAACAAGGAGAACAGAATATACTCCCCCCCTTTAATCAACGTAATTGAAAATTAAGCGCTTACCTTCGTTAAGTAACGGTGATTTAAACGGTGGTAACACTATCGATAGAAAATACGGTAAGCTTAAGGCGGTAATGAAACTTAGCGGAACGGGGTAAAAGTTACGGTAGTGCAAAAAGGTAAACTCAAAACGGTAGTTAAACGGAAAGGACAACGGATTGACTTACGGTCGCTCAAACGGTAAAAGGGTAAAGCAAAAGGGGTTCGGTGGATTCGGAATGATACGGTTTCGCAAATTAGAAAAATCAAAAGGCGTACTTACAACTCGAAAGTATGAAGCAGAAAAGATCCCTCCCAAAATGAGCATTTTCCTTTTAAAGGAAACCAATTTTGGTGGAAGTGGAACAGGGAATTTCCAAAGCCGGGCGGTGCTCGTACCGAGAGCGGTAGAAAATAATTCGGTTTTTAATTAATTGAGGCTCCTGTGGTTATCTTAAAAATCTGAGACAACTTGCAAACAAATAGAAAAATTACAGCGCCTCTGTGGACACCTCTCTCGACGGTTTCTGACAGGGTTTACTACTGCCCATTAACATGGCATTAATTAACAGCGCTTACCTAATTAAGCGTAATCAAACCTAAGTACTCATAAATCCAATCTGCAACTAGCTCCCTTGGACTTTTTCTTCTCAAACGGCGCTATCGCTTTAACACTCTTATCGCAGCATGCAGGCATACGGACGGGACTGCAAAACTTGTAAACAACTAGATTTGAACTCGTTTTATCCTTGATTTTACTTATTATGGGAATCTAAAACATCTTATAAATAATTAACGGCGCTGAAATCAAAGAATATTAATTGCCCCTCATCTTCGCCAGGACAACATCCTTCGGTGGTTACAAAAATAATTCCAAAATTCCAACAGGAGCGGTCGTAGGCGGACTAATTAATTACGGTATCTCCATGGCATTGCGGAAAATGCTCAATATCACGGTCTTCTTGCATAACGAAGCCCAAACCAATCTTTACTATACAGGGTGGTCCTTGTAAACGGCAAACTAAATGGGGAAATTCCGGGTGCTTCGTTACATGATGATGAGCATGTGGCCATGCAATTATGTGACGCACTGTATTCCGGGACTCGTCAAAAGAAACTTTTTTAAATGTTAAAGTCTGCGATGACATTTCGGTGTTTATCAATCTCAATCACGTTGTCAAATTCAGCGTATACGAGACAATTCACTGTCTCCGTCAATGCGTCTTGAAATCCAACTTCGATGCGAAGAGAACCGTTCTTTACCAAGTTCCAATGAGTTGTGGCGTTTGCGGATAAATCCGGCGTTAAATCGAAAGTCATTAAACAGTAGCCGTGTGGGTAATCCAATCGCGATACGTTATTTCCTTCGTTCAAAAAATGTATTCCACTTCCAGAAAATAATGTGTGGTAGGCTCTTACGTATAATCCTTCTTGAGTGAAATCTGGTTGCAATGGCTTTGATGGAATCTGCTGACCATCGATGTACAAAGACATGTAATTAATCTTGTAATGATGAAAGTTGAAGGGATTGGAAGCGTATTCTCCGTTAAACGCTTTATTCGACACAAAACCAATTATGCAGCGTTTTGGTAGTTGTCCAAGGAAGACATTATCCAATGATTTGCGTTGCACACCTGCGGGAATCGTTAGCACCTTCACATCCGATCTAGTAATAGGGTATTTGGCTGCAGTGGTTTCTAATGCTTTTGTGTGCGCAAGAAGAACTACAGGATTAATCTTCATTCTTATAACCAGTAAACTGGCATCCACAATTTTCACTTTGTATGTTGAACCAGCAGCAGCCATTAAACTAAAGGTGTCTCTTGTTCGAACAAATTTTACTTTCATTTCAACTCCATTTATGAGAAACTTTTCTTGATTAAATAAGTCCGCGTGCACATGACCAACCATTTCCACCATTTTACCGAGCTTTGTGGTATTTTGACGAATAGCGGCGAAACCTTTGTTATCAGCTGTTAATGTATCCGTGGATTAGGCCTACAGGGGAACACCACGATAAAAAAAACGCGCCTCAACTCTAGCTCCAGGGTGGTGTGGAAAAGGGTTTGTATATTTTAAATTGTAATTTGCGCTTTTGATTGTAATGTTTTTTTTTTGTTAATTGTTGCACCCTAATAAACATAATTAAAACTTGTTCATTTTCTAACTTCTATTTCAGAATAGGTAAAAGAGGGACGCAATGAGTAAGAGAGAGATAGACGCAGTGAGTAAGAGAGAAAGATAGAAAAAATTTCAAATTTCCCGCCTTTGGCGGCCATTTTGTTTTTCCGCCATTTTGTTTTCAATTAGAGTTACCTGTGTGTGTAATTATTACATATGTGTAATTATTACATATGTGTAATTATTCTTGATTATACGATCAATTTAAATTAATCGATAAATTAATTAGAGCAATCAAACCGCGAATTAAATTAATCGGACCGCGGATTAAATTAAATAAGCCGCGAATCAAATTAATTAGAGGAAATTCCGAGAAATCAAACCGCTAATTAAATTGATTAAGCCGCGAATCAAAGTAATCAAACAGAAATTCCGGGAAATCAAACCGCTAATTAAATTAATTAGATCAATCAAACCACAAATTAAATTAATCCACAGTAATCAATTTAATTGATGACGTCATCAATCAAATCAAATGCCAATAAAGACCAAAATCCTACAAAATTTTTATTAATTAAACCCAAATTCCAAGAAATTAATCAAATTTCCCCCGAAAACAACCCCGCCCACGTGAACGACCCCGCGAATCAATTTAATTGACCTTGATTGACCCGCGAATAAAATCCAAGATGGCGGCGACAGTGACCCGCTTCTACTTATGACTATCAAAAAGAATTTGAAAAAGAGTTATGAATCTTCAAAGTGTGGTATATTGTTGTGCTCAAAGTTGCACAACTATAGTCCAGGCCGATTGCTCAGTAGTGTTCAGCGCTGCACTATAGTTTAGATTTAGTACTGTGACTATAGACAATATAGAGTAAATGTATATGTTGAAATTTTTATTTTTACATAATAACTAGAGTTAAAGACACTTATACAAAGTTCTGGCACAGAATAGATCTCTCTTGTGTTAGAAGCCTTCTTTGGGGCACTAATTAGCATCTCGATGTCTTCTTTATCATAGTGAAGGGTGTCTTTGTGGTGTTCAGGCCATTTCCACAACTTTCGACATTTTATCATGCAGCCTATTGTAGCGCCGTTTTCTTCAATATTCTCAATACGTCCAGGCCAGTAACCCCCCTGGTATTTCACGATGACATAGTTTCCTACATTCAAAGTCAAATCACTACTTAAATTTTGATCATTACGTTTTTCTAGCGTGTCATCTACATCATTGAAATCTTCTGATTCAGTATCACAAACAAGAGACATGTGGGTATCAGAATCCTCTTCTGTGTCACTGTTTTTTAACATTTTCGTTATTTTTTTTAATGTGTTGCTGTTTACATTGTTTGCCTTTAGGAGTCGGTTGTGCACTTGTTCAGTTGCGGTTTCAAAGATAGCTCACGGTTAGAAGAAGAATTAACAGACCAGGTCATTGCGGGTATTAGGGACAAACTTACGCAAAATTACTTTTTCCGTACGGACTTAAAGCTAAAGGATGTAATTAAACAATGCAATGCTGATCAGCAAGCTAATCAAGGGGTAGATTTTTATACAGAACTGGATGGAGTACATAAGGTCACCCGTTCAGACTCAAAGAAACAACATAAACATTAAAAATGCTAGCGAATGCAAAAAGTTTGAATTCTACGGAGAATTTGGACCAAAGTTTTTGAGATTGCACAAATCTTTTGTATGAACAGTGTTAGGAACGCTAGAAATATAATTTTTAGAGGTAGTATTACAATTTGCACAAGTGTCAGCGTAACATTGAAATCTAATCAAGATGACCGTGCAGGTCGGGAAGTACTTTGTCGACCTCGACGAGGTTCGAATATAAATTTGGCTTACCACCTTTAGGTCTACGGGACTAGGACTCCCCCATCTTAACCACCCATATATATATATCAATATATATGGTGAGTTTTTTTTCATTTTAAGCATTGGGATCTTGGAAACTATAAGACATACGGATTCGGTTAAATGAGGAAAGAGTTGTCGTTTTAAGAGCTTATTTAAGATATGCTTTTGTTTTTTGAAAAAAATCCACAGTTTACTAGATATGAGCGAAAAACAGATTTAGTGATTTTTCATTTAACTGTCGTAATCGATATTATTAGAAATACAACAAAATGACACGAATAAAGTTTTAGACATTTTAATGCTTAACATGATGAACATACTAATTTATTTTTAAATCTTACAATTTTTGAGTAATAATACAAATTTAATTTTTTTAATTATAGTCATAGTTGGCTTTGACAGTTTTAAAAAGGACAAATTTTTATCTTTATAACGATAGGCTTTCTAAATGTACTTTAATAAATAAACGCCCTGCAGTAATTTTCGTATTATTGAGAGGTAAGTAAACAGAGTTGGCATTGGAAAACAATATCTAGTGAGATAGGTACCTTTCATTTACGACGAAAATTGGACAGGCCAATGTTATCTTCATTTTCTACCAAATGAATTTCAAGATATTTAGGATGGGTTAGATTTGGAAACACGACGTAATTTACGCTGGTTTCAACACAACGGTGCCCCGCCGCACAACTAACTGCAAGTTAAATATTATAATAGACAGAAATTAAGAGAACAAAAATGTTTCTCATGGCAAAATCTGTTTTTACTACTAGCGTAGGCGGTACAACTAAATATCGAGGTAAACGTTGCACTTTGTGACAAAAGCATGAAACTCGGTACACCTGTTCATTAGGTCCAAATAAAACTTTTGGCCCGCAGCACCCACCGAAATTTTCGTGTGGGTTAAAAATTTGAACACTTCTGTTCAAAAGGGTGTTCAAGGTTTTAAACCTGTAAAAATTCACGAATTTCGGTGTTCTAGGGGTCGTTTTTGAATGATTTAGGGTCTCGCGTGCCAATGCCGGCATTAAAAAAGTTGTATATCTGACCCTTAGGCCCCAAATTTGGATTATTTTCAAAATAATGGCTAAATTTTGAATTTGATAGTTTTAACCTTGCGTGATGTTTCGGATGTCGATTCCAGCTAGAAATGTTATATTGAAGTTAAACCAGTTTCTGGTGTGTAAATAGGCCGTTAATCGTTCATAAATTTGTTCAAAATTTGGAAATTCCGTACTTGCAAGGATTTTGCCGTTCTTGGTGTCGTTTCCATATAATTTGTAGCTGCTGATGCTGATGTTGTATTCAAAAAACAGATGCTACTCATAGTTAGGCCCTTTTCATATTATTTTACCTATTAAGAGGGAATGTTCGGCGCAGTCATACCCTTGTTGCCCCGGATTGCAACAACTATTGAATGACAAAGAAAGACGAAAGAGACGAGTATTTCATTAAGATTCGGAAGTGGGCATGTTCTTTGACGGGGTATGCCGCCTATGCTTCCATTATTGCCCTCCCGTCATCGCTTGTTGGGAAATCTGAACTTCCAGTCAGTCTTGAGCTCACTCCACGACAAGTAACACCTCTCAGCGAGCTATTTTTTTTTATAGTTCCGTCCGACTCGTGCCCCTGGAAATGTGGATATCGCAACGATACCGTGAAACGCGTGCCCTGAAGTCGCCGAGGCAGCCCCCAAAGTATCTCAGACGGCGGACGGTACGATTAGGCCGCGAGTCACAGGCGTTTTAGGCCCTGCGCGTGTCGCTGTAGGAACTCTGCGCGCATATTGAGAGACCGTTACCAACATGACCTGCGGTGCGCTGACGGTGAACTGGCAAGTGTGTTGTTTATACACTCTCGAGGCCGGTTATCTGGTGCATCAACTCAACGAAGGGAAGGGGATTAAAGCTGCTTTTATTCAGAACAAAGCAAAGTGGCACAAAGTATGTGCATCGAAGTTCCAAGGGGCTAAATTTGCTAAACTTTTACTAAAAGTTCAGTCTTCTACCAGTGCTATTGATGTGCTGAAGAGGCTCTCGAAGGCTGGCGACCAGAACCTGCTTCTGATTGGTCATGGTGGTAACGGTCTATCAATATGCGCGTAGAGTTCCGACAACGACGCACAGGGCCTAAAACGCCTGTGACTCGCGGCCTAATCGTACCGCCCGCCGTCTTGGGGGCTGCCTCGGCGACTTCAGGGCACCCTCAGGCACTGCGTCGCGATCCATCGCGTTTCACGGTATCGCTGCGATATCCTCACTTTAAGACAAGGGCGTATCCAGAGGGGAGGGCTGATGCCCTCCACTAGAGATTAAAAAAGTAGCAAAATGCAAAGCAACCAGTCCAAAAACCAAAGGGTCCTGGTTTTCTTGGGCGATAATTCCTTATTACAATTATTGTGGTTGTAGAGGTAAGACAGGTACAAGAGTAAAACTTTATGTGCTCTGCACTATACCTACAATTAATAATTTTTTTATCCTTTATATGCCAACTTGCCCCTCTCTGGGCCATAGCTGGCGACACTCTTGCTTCAAGGGATACGAGTCGGGCGGAACTAACTCGCTGCGAGATGTTACTTGTCGTGGAGTGAGCTCAAGACTGATTGGAAGTAGACATTTCCCAACAAGCGATGACGGGAGGGCAATAAGTATAAGCGGCATACCCCGTCAGAGAACATGCCCACTTCCGAATCTTAATGAAATGCCCGTCTCTTTTGTCTTTCTTTGTCATTCAATAGTTGTTGCAATCCGGGCCAACAAGGGTATGACTGCGCCGAACATTCCCTCTTAATAGGTAAAATAGTTTGAAACGGGCCTAACTATGAGTCGCATCTGTTTTTTGAATACAAAATCAGCATCAGCAACCACAAATTATATGGAAACGACACCAAAAACGGTAAAATCCTTCAAGTATAGAATTTCCAAATTTTGAAGAAATTTATGAACGATTAACGGCCTATTTACACACCAGAAACTGTTTCCCTTCGTTGAGTTGATGCACCAGATAACCGGCCTCGAGAGTGTATAAACAACACACTTGCCAGTTCACCGTCAGCGCACCGCAGGTCATGTTGGTAACGGTCTCTCAATATGCGCGCAGAATTCCTACAGCGACACGCGCAGGGCCTAAAACGCCTGTGACTCGCGGCCTAATCGTACCGTCCGCCGTCTGAGATACTTTGGGGGCTGCCTCGACGACTTCAGGGCACGCCCAGGCACTGCGTCGCGATCGATCGCGTTTCATGGTATCGTTGCGATATCCACATTTCCAGGGGCACGAGTCGGACGGAACTATAAAAAAAATAGCTCGCTGAGAGATGTTACTTGTCGTGGAGTGAGCTCAAGACTGACTGGAAGTTCAGATTTCCCAACAAGCGATGACGGGAGGGCAATAATGGAAGCATAGGGGGCGTACCCCCGTCAAAGAACATGCCCACTTCCGAATCTTAATGAAATGCTCGTCTCTTTCGTCTTTCTTTGTCATTCAATAGTTGTTGCAATCCGGGGCAACAAGGGTATGACTGCGCCGAACATTCCCTCTTAATCGGTAAAATAATATGAAAAGGGCCTAACTATGAGTAGCATCTGTTTTTTTAATACAACATCAGCATCAGCAGCTACAAATTATATGGAAACGACACCAAGAACGGCAAAATCCTTGCAAGTACGGAATTTCCAAATTTTGAACAAATTTATGAACGATTAACGGCCTATTTACACACCAGAAACTGTTTTAACTTCAATATAACATTTTTAGCGTGTAGTGCACGTCCAAATTAGCTGGAATCGACATCCGAAACATCACGCAGGGTTAAAACTATCAAATTCAAAATTTAACCATTATTTTGAAAATAATCCAAATTTGGGGCCTAAGGGTCAGCTATGCAACTTTTTCAATGCCGCCATTGGCACCAGCGACCATAAATCATTTAAAAACGACCCCTAGAATGCCGAAATTCGTCAATTTTTACAGGTTTAAAACTTTGAACACCCTTTTGAACAAAAGTGTTCAAATTTTGAACCCACACGAAAATTTCGGTGGGTGCTGCGGGTCAAAAGTTTTATTTGGACCTAATGAACACGTGTACCGAGTTTCATGCTTTTATCACAAAATGCAGCGAAAAAATTTGTACCGCCTACGCTATACTCTTAATAATACAAACAGTTCTGTATCATGTTTATTTGTCAAAGTAAGTACAATGAACCTTATATCATTGTAAAAAGAAAAAAATGCACTTTTTAAAAATGTCACAGTCAACTATGATTACCATTTAAAAAAATGTAAGTTTGCGTTATAACTCGAACATTATAAAAGAAGAATAAATATTAATGTATCTTATTAAGCAGAAAAAAATCTACAATTTTTGTTCTTTGCATATCTCTGTATTTCTAATAATAACGATTCTACAACAGTTAAATGAAAAATCATTAAATCTGTTTTTCGCTCATATCTACTAAACTATGGATTTTTTTAAAAAAACAAAAGCATATTTTGAATAAGCTCTCAAAACTACAACTCTTTCCTCATTTAACCGAATCTCTATGTCTTACGGTTTCCGAGATCCTAATGCTTAAAATGAAAAAAAACTCACCCTGTATAAGGCCATAGGGAAATTGACATTGCATCAATAATTGTTTCAGTCATAGCTTCCTCGCGAATCATCTGCCACAGTACTGCAGAAATTGTTTCTAAATCAACAAATTTATTCAAATGTGGTATAAACATATAAGATTACAATCGGTGCTCGAATTGTTTTCCACAGGCAGCCAAACAATATCCGATACTCGGAACTGAATAGCTCGCATTACTACTCAGCTACTGTGCCCACTCTTATACAAATTGTAATTGTACTACATGCATGATAGTAGGGGAGCTAGCACGAAATCCACTGAACGAGAATGATCAAAATTTTAACCGATGGAGTTCCATTTTGCCCTATCCGAGTATGCTAAAATCGATCGTCTGCCGCCTCAGGTCATACGACTTAAGGTGCTGCGGGTACTTCTTGCGGTACCAATTCTGAAAGGTTGTTTTTCGAGAAAATAAGTGATACACCAAATGAAAACGTTGATAATAGCTCTTAAAAAAATAGTTAAAAAAATCGCGCACATTTGATAACTCCGTAAAAAAACAATTCTTAGTCGGTTTTTCACGAACTTTCTACGAATATAACTAGGTTACCGTTGGAAGAATGAAGCTGATTTTTTTACAGACCAATGATAGGTACAGCCAATGACTATGAGAGTGTTTCTTTTTTAAATTTATTCTCTAATTATAAGATATCTTATAATGTTAAGCTAATAAGATAATCTTGTAATTAGAGACAAAATTTAAAAACGAAACACCGTTAAGTCATTAGTAGTGCTTATCATGAGTCTGTAAAAAAAATCAGCTTCATTCGTCCCACCGTAACCTAGTTATATCCGTAGAAAGTTCGTGAAAAACCGACTAAGAATTGTTTTTTTACGGAGTTATCAAATGCGCGGGATTTTTTTAAATATTTTTTTAAGAGCTATTATCAACGTTTTCATTTGGTATATAACTTATTTTTTCGAAAAACAACCTTTCAGAATTGGTACCACAAGAAGTACCCGCAGCGCCTTAAGTCGTATGACCTGAGGCGGCAGACGATCGATTTTAGCATACTCTGATAGGGCAAAATGGAACACCATCGGTTAAAATTTTGATCATTCTCGTTCAGTGGATTTCGTGTTAGCTCCCCTACTATGAACACCGCGGCTGCCCCAAGCAAAAACCAAGTAACTGACATTTTCCTCGAAATCGATGTTTTGAGGTATGCGACTTACTTGGTTTCTGATACACATTTTGGTCCTAGAAAATTAAAAATCGGTTCATAAATAACAGAGATATTGATAAACCCAAACCAAGTAACTGCACTAAATTTCAGAAATCCCCACACTGAAACAAATTAACTACAAGATCCTTTACAAAAACAAAGTAACTGGTTTGTCACTTACTTGGTTTTTGCCAACAAAATTGAGTTACTTTGTTTATGCGTGGTAAATTTGTTCTATTATTACGAAAATACTCGCCAATTATCAGTAATGACATGCGTGGGGTGGGTAACACTACAATCGGGATGGACTTAAATCAGTTGAACTGTAAAACTCAAAGGATAACCATGTCCGCTACAGGAATAAAATCGCGTACGAACCAAATAATAAATGACGCCATAAAACAAAATAACTACACGGCACAAAAAATGGTATGTCTATTTTTTTAGCTAAGGGTTCTTTTTTGAACTTGATTCAGAGCCTACTTTTTTTGTAAAAGAAGTATTTATGTTGTTCATCTTTTTAACAGCATTATGTGGAGCCGGTCGAATTATTTCCAACGATCAACTTTGAATGTGCAGGATTTATTACTGATAATTATCATACGGAAGAGCAAAAGAGTGAATATATCGCAAAAGTTAAACAATATTTTAACATTGGTCCCGAAAACGGTGCCAAGAATAGTTTGTGTAGTGGAAACGAAACGGAAAACTTGTCGGTAACAAAATCGAACGTTGTTACTTTAAAAGATGTTATCAATCAAAAGCAAGATATAAGCGATGTAGAAAGCACATTTGATGATAGTGATAAGGATAAAGACTATGAGCCAAGATGTAGTACGAGCAGCGAAAGTGATAGCGAAGTTGAACGTCAAACTGTTAGTTCAAATACCGAAAAGAAGAGACGACGTTTAATCAAAAAAATTAAGAAGGTATGTTTGTTTTGTTTGTTAAAGTTGTTTGTAATTATTCTATTAAGTACTTTTTTTTTAAGTTACCTTTGGCCAATCTTGAAAGCAAATTTAACATCGAAGTGGTGGCTAAAAGGAAGAAATCAAATAACTCAAATATTATGTCGACATCATTACAACAGGTACTTATTTCTTTTAGAAATAATGCTATGGTTCAATTTATTTAATTTTGATGTTTATTCTAGGCTAATTGTAATACAATTATTACTAGTTGCGAAGAAGCTACAATTAAAAAACAAGGCACAGAAAACATATTGCAAAAAGTATTATTCTAACGTACAATAAGTATATTCCTTAACTAATTTTGTTTTAGGCTCACTGTTGTAAAAACACCATCGCGCCGGATAATACCAGTAGCGAAAAATGTTTGGAAAATATCCAGAATCCGGTAATTATATCTGTATTATTTGTTTTTCGTATTTTATCAAATGAACTAAAAAACCAGATGGAAACCAAACTTGTAATTAAGTAGCATTTCTTAATATTTTAAGCTTAGGGAACTTTTTCCAATGCGAAACTTAGAATCTATTTAAAAAATCCACGCACACTTTTACTCTAGGAATAATATTCTATACATTATTAAACTTTGTTTATTTATGGTTTTTTAGAGCAGTACGAAAAAGCGTTTGTTTTGATTTGCCTATAGAGTAATCAGTTCTATACTTTTAGGCTTCTTCTAATAACATCGAACACTTTGAGGAACCCAACAATAAAACAAAGAAAGTAGCAAAAAAACTTACTCGTGACCAAAAAGAGAAAAGAGATAAAAGTAAACATCCTCTTAGGGAAAAATGTAAAAACCTATGTAGAAGAAAATGCGCTGAATTAGATGAAGACACGCGAACAGTTATTTGGAATTACTACTGGTCTATGGATTATACGAGTCGCCGAAAATGGCTTAGTATAAACATGTTACTTTAGTTCCAATCAAACGCAAATGTTCTAACTCTCAACATAATCAAGCAGAATCTAGGCTATATTCTTTACCAAAATTGCCTGATAATACAGAAATATCAGTATGTAAGTTAACATTTTTAAATACATTAGGATATAGAGCAGATTCGGTCATAACAGAATTGGTATCAGGCATTAAAGCCGAACCCTGCGGTAATGCTGTAAGGGAACGCAGAGGTTTAAACCCTAAACCAAAAGTAAACCGCAAGCTGATTAGAGAACATATTGAATCATTTAATCCGTGCATAAGCCATTATAGAAGGAAAAATGCGCCCAATACTAGATATTTACCTAGAGAACTAACCATACAATTTCTGTTTAATGATTTTATTGCACAGCACCCGGGATTTTGCAAAGTAGAAATTTACAGAAAAATGCTAAAAGAAATGAATATTTCACTATGTCAGCCAAAATCTGATCTCTGTGATGAATGCACTTCTATGAAAAATGCTCTTGTTACCAACAGTGGTGATAAAAGCATTCAAGAAAAATCTAAAAGCCTCTCAGGCACACGAAAAGTACAAAGAAGACTCGGAAGAAGCTGCTCAATTTTTAGAAAATAGCTCTAAGCGTATTTTTTCCATGGATCTGCAAACAGTGTTGTTGCTTCCTATTATACCACAAAGTAAATCTTGTCTATTTACAAGCAGACTAGGCGTTTTTAACCAAACATTTGCCACAATTAGCAAAAATGATAAAAATATCAGTTTTTGTGTTCTTTGGCATGAAGCGTTATCTGGAAGGAAAGCAGGAATCACTGACTGATGCAATGTTTGAGGTCATAAATAAGGAACGCGATGTAAGTGAGTTTGTCTTCTGGTGCGACAATTGTACAGCTCAAAATAAGAACTGGGCGTTATTTACGGCCCTTGTAACTAAAGTGAACGAATCGTTCGGCCCAAGTAAGATAACGATCCGTTACTTGACCAAAGGTCACACCCATATGAGTGCCTATGGGCCATTTTAAATAACTCGACGCCTTTACATTGCCCAAATGCCGCAAATAAAAAACTTTTGGGAAAGACAAACTCGATAATTTGAATCATAACATCCCAAATATGGATCCACCAATACAATTAAACACTACAGTTTTCTCTGTAAAATGTACAGGAGGGCAGCGGCGGGATATTGCATAAAACTAATTTCCCACATTAAATCTCTATGTTGCTTCTTACCGTGCACCACCCGGTATGTATATACCATGGTGTATAATTAAATAGACACCATGGTATATACTAAACACATGCTTTGTATAATAAAATCGCGAGGCAAGATTTAAATTTCCGAAAGAAAAGAAGTTGCATAAATTATCATTGTATTTGAAAGTATTTAAAAATGTGTCACTAATGTGAATCCAATAGGTGAATATCCTAAATACACCCGCATAGTAATAATTAAATGCTTCATTGTCATTACGCATACTTTCACCTTAACACTATAGCAATACATAATTGTCCCAATCTAACCCTCAGTTACAACAAGGAATTTTTTTAATGGGTCTAGTGAAACTGTTCCATTGGTTCCTATAATTGTACTGTTGTCAGAATTGAATGAGAAAATTACAGCAATCACAGTCTCTGATATGGCCAACGAAACTGTTTTATTAAACTAGCGAAATTCTTTCACAATGGGAATGAAATTGGTTTCATTGCCATAATTGATTAAAAAAGAATAGATTCACTACCTAGGTATATAATTTTGTATTACCTTTTAACCGTACAATACAAAATCACTGTACAACTGAAATCAATGTTTATAAAATGTTACACGTTTTTCGTACAAAACCTTCCGGTCACTGTTGATGATTGGTGTATCGGCAGGCCTCGCTTCACTCATTTGAAAGTCTTTTAGGATTGATTTGGTGTATTTTTTTTGACAGAGTAATAACATTGTTATCAATTGTTATTATATCGATACCTAAAAATGAATTCACATTGTCGTGTGTAACGATTTCAAACAATGTGTGTAGTTCTTACAGTAATTTATTGATTTTTGATTCGTCATTGCCCATAATTATACCAACGTCTACATAAATTCCTAAAGGTCGTCGTTTTCACTTTTGAACATACACGGTCCTGTTTTTATTGCTGTTAAACCGAATATCTGTAACGTACTTGTGAAATCCTTATTCCATCGTAATGGCCCTTGCTTTAAGCCATAAAGAGCCTTCTGTAGTCGACAGATTTTATTGTCTCCATCATATCCCTCTGGTAATTGCATGTAGATTTCATCAAGTAATGCGCCATAGGGCAATTCGGGATGAGATGGCCACCGTTTTGAAAACTTTTTAGAAAAAGTGGTAAAACAACTTTATTGATGTCGATTGTCAGAATATATAGTATATATAGAGTATAAACACTCATTTGCTGTTGGGGAAGTATTAACTTCATCAGTTGTTGCATTAACTTCAGTAATTGTTAAATCGGTTGCAGTCCTATTCTTAATATAATTTGTATTAGCTGTTACATTTTTAATATGGTTGTTGGACAGGTGTTTTTTAAAAACATCTCGTCTGTGAAACGATCTTTGGCAATTCGAAAAAGGGCAAACAAAAGATGAACAAGAGTGGACATGTAAATGGAATATAAATTTTTCTGGCAACTCAAAATCTATATGGCATTTCATTTTTTGAATGTAAGACACAAAAGAATAAAGATAAAATGAAACCTATTATTCTAATGGATATATGTACAAAATCTCTAAATCTCTGCCATATATGGTAGGTCTTTGTTAAATTTAGTTTCAAATTTGTACAAACTTTTTTGTATTAAGAGCCAAATGTGCTCCGATTGTGGTGGATATTTGCAGTTGAATATATGAAAAGACTTAAAGCAAATATCTAGCGCTTTAACGACACTTTTGAATTGATACCTTAAAGTGTCTACAACGATATATGTTTCGTTAATTTCAGACAGTGATCTCCCTTCTATTAAGATGTAGGGTTGCACACTTTGTTTCTTTAAAATCGCCTTTTCCTTTTGTAATTCTATCAGCCGCGATATATCGCCCGGATTCTGCAATAAAAAGTTAATTGTCACTGTTAACTTTCAAACCTTTTCAGAATACCTTTGCATGAATGATCACCGAGTCAATAGCTTCCTGTATCGAAAACTTCCAGTGTTTGCGTCCTAAACAGATCCTTCCTTTCGGGGGAAGCAAATGAGGTAATAGGTGAAGTTGAACCGCAATTTGGTACTGTCAATATTTTCTTCTAGGAGGGCAATTTGCTTTGCAGATGCTTTGTCCCTGATATTAGCCTGTTTTAATTCCACAGCTTTGGCAAAAAATTTGATTCCACTTGTTTAGCAAATTAAAGTGAGATGGAGGGTACATCTGTTCAATATCCAAATAAATCTGTAATAAATAAGACCACAATAAGTGCACAATACTGACAATAATCAAAACCACGCTGCCATTTACCCACGCCATATTCGCGTTAACAAGCATAAGCATATATATAAAATTATGCATTCCATTTATCGGCTATACACTAATTAAACATAGGTCTTAGGTACTTACCTTGGAAGATGGGTATGAGGTTATCGAAACCCCAAATATTAAACAATTTTTCCATTGCAAGTAAACTACATACACTTTTATAACAAGTAACAAACAACTGTAAACCATGAACGGAAGCAAAGCGAAATGACGACCGTATAAATGAAAACTGCCGATGTGCGTATTCCTTTTAGATGAAAGAACATATTTGTTTGAATTAAATTACGTTTCTTGACGCAAACTTACGCGTCACTTTAGGCAAATTTTTTTGTATGCTTATTGCAGAAAACTGTTCATACCTTTGAATCAGGAATATAGACGATCAGAAAAAGACATCTCAATTTTTTACACAAATGTGTTATAATTTTTTAGTTCAAAACATTTATATCTTGATTAAATACCACGTTCTAGGCTTGAGTTGAATAATCACGTTTGCAATAAGAGAATATTTCAAAAAAACCTTTCTCTTATTTGAACCAATGTAAAATGTTTGAAGAGAAAAACTGATCTCTACCTAAATATCTATTTTCTTTATGCAAACTGAGTCAAGCATTTAATTTTTTTGAATTCAAGTAAATATTTTTATGTGTGTAGTTTAAGACATAATCTTCAAAATGTGCTGGTCGTTGGTTGTTTCTAATGGGCCGATTTGAAATCGAGGGTTCTTGTTCTGCATGATATTCTACTTCGTCAAACACATTCGTCTGCGGCAATACTTGGAAATCTTTTTTATTTCTTCGCAACGTTCTTCCGTCTGTTTCGACAAAATACGATCTTGGTTGTTCTGCAGCGGTCTTGATTATTCCTTCTCTTTTTGTGTCGATTATCCATACTCGTTTTCCTTCGTCGAGGTCTTGGCTTTCTTGGGTGCGATGTCTTTTATCGTAGTTTTGTTCTTGTTCCTTCTCTAATTTCTTTCTCACCTCCGCATGGTTGAATAGCTTCGGCTGCGATTTCTCTTCTAGCATCGCTAATCGTTCGCGTCATTGTCGACCATATAAAAGTTGAGCTGGCGATGCTCCGCAGCTTATGGCCGTTTGCACCGACAAATTTAACCCATTAATTCCCAGTGTACTCGGATGAGTACAATAAACTTTGATTCATTTAAGAGCCCTCTGGCAGTAAGGTACAGAAATTTTTTGGTTATTCGTACGACAAACCTGATGTATATGAACTGTCATACAGATATCTAACAGCGATTATGTCAAATTCTACAATTTTAACTTTGCACGTGGCTTTTATCTTGCAAGCGTTTCGCTAACCTAAGTTTTCGTGTGTTGACATTTTTCATTATTGTGTTTAGGTTACTTTGGGTCCGCTTAGTGCTGTTTTTTGTGTTTAATTGTGTTCACGAACCATTATAGTAGTGCCTCAGAAACGTACAAGGGTAAGTTAATTAATTTCAAAATAATAATCGCGGTCAAAGTTGAGTGTACTCGCTTGAGTACATTGGGAGAATACCCCCTATGCACAAAATTTCTAAAAAGTAATTAGGCACTTTTCCTCCAGAGTCACTTCACATTTGGAATGGATATGAATGACGTACCAATACCTCCCCT